ACAGAACCGGTAGTAAAAAAAAATGGATTTCACCCCTGGAGCAATCCTTTCGCTCAACCCTGGTGGCTCAGCAGACTAATAGCATTGTGATTAACACCAGCTGTCTGCAATTACTGTAAGTTCGAATCTCTCCAAGGCTCAAGGTCGACTCAGCCTTCCATCCTTTCTAAGGTAGGTAAATTGAGGACCCAGTTTGTGGGGGCAATAAGCTGACTTTATTATAAATATACAAAAGGATGAAGGCTATTGCTGAGCACATTGTAAGCCGCCCTGAGTCTCCAGAGAAGGGCGGCATATAAATCAAATTTTTTTTAAAAAAAAACCAGGAGCCAGCTGGAATGCAGAAATAAAGGTGGTTTTGGACTCCCTGACTGGGAACTATACTACAAAGCAGGGGCAGTGATGTGGATAAAGGACTGGATAAATCTAAAAAATAAAAGGATATTGGCAATAGAGGGTCACGATTTACAATTAGGCTGGCATGCATTTGGGAGGAGAAAAATAAAATACTTATTTCCAGAAACACCCAGTCAGAGAAGCCCTTCTACATGTATGGGAGAAAATAAAGAAAAACCATTATACTAAAATACCAATTTGGCTATCAACCATGGAGGCTTTGATATACCCTAATGTATTGGATTTAGATAAAATAGTAAGATACAAAGATGTATTAGATGATCAAGGGAAATTAAAAACAAATCAAGAATTAAAACATCAAGGAATAGCTATAGATTGGTGCCCGTATCTGCAAATTCAGGGAAGATATAAAAAAGATCTAGAAAACTATGTCTTTTATAAGGAACAAAAAGAGTTTGATAAAATAGTACAGGGGACGGAGGAAAAAATGATAATGAAAGTACAACTATTTCTTGAGATTCAAAATGAAAGGAGAAACGGTCAAAGAAACTATGATAATTTGGGAAAAGAATTTTGGGTATACTATCGAATTAAGAATATTGGGAAAAATTATGGGAAGAAAATTATAAACGAACAATGTTGGCAACATGTAAAGAAAATTTATATAAAATGTTTTATTGTTGGCATTTACCCCCAGCAAGATTGGCGAAAACGTTCCCAAATAGATCAGCGGATTGCTGGAAATGCAAGCAGAACCAAGGTACATTTTTCCATATGTGGTGGACATGTCCAGAAGCCAGGAAAGATTGGACTAAAATAAGAAGATGGTTAGAGGAACCCAGGCCAACCAAAGTCCTTAAAAGGCATTTTAAAAACTTCTGCCAATGGAAAGATTTATGGGGGTGTTGTCCTTTGTTTGATTTTGCTGTTTTAAATATCCCTCGGTGCTCTCTGAGCTTGGGGGTTCTCTTGCAGACATTTCATTACCCAATTAGGTAACATCATCAGTACTGAGATAATTTTCCCTAGTTGTGTCAGGAAACATCTGTAAAAAAAAAAAGTTCAGAGAGCACCAAGAAGCCCATAGTCCCCCCTCCACCTCCTCTTCCTCCTCCCCACAAACCCCACTCCCTTCTAGCACTGATGATGTTCCCTAGTTGGGTCACGAAACATCTGCAAAAAACTCTCCAAGCTCAGAGAGCAAATAGGACCCCACAATTCAGCTCTGACCCACCTCACAGGGTTGTTGTGGAAAAAATAAAAAAGGAAGGAATTGCATATGTTTGTCTCCTGGAGCTATTTATAAAATAATAAAGACAAGATAAAAATCTGAAATAAAAAAAATCAAAACTTTATTCTGTCTCTCTAAAATCCCGTATCTGAGCTACTTAGGAAAGTGCTAGCTTTCCATTTTGGCACTTTTGAAGCCACAAGCACATCGGACGGTCGTTGCCTTCTGCACCAAATTGTTCTCTTTCTAACGTTGTGATGCTAAGCACAACCGAACACAATGATGAGCAAAACTGTGTCTCTTCCAATACATGAAAACGCTTCGTATTTGTGCTTGGTAAGAAAAAAGGGACATCTTCCAATTTTTGCAGGCAAAAATGTCTAAATTGGACTTGTGCACCAAGATTTTGAAATGGGCCTCTTATTCTCTGTTCTTTGTGGATTTTTGTGTGAATTTTCACACAATTTCTTGGACATTTAACCAGGGAGAATCAAAGCCAATGAGACCCCTCGCTGGGGCTACAATGCAGCAGCCAGAGAGCACGAGCGCCATCTGCTGGTAGGTTGGAGCACATCAGCTAGTTCCTGCTGCTTTGACAAGGATCTTTCCTGGCCCAGAAATGGGTAGATTTAGAATTTAGAATAACAGATTACAGATTAATAGAGTTGGAAGGGACCTTGGAGATCATCTAGTCCAACCCCCTGCCCAAGCAGGAGACCCTACACCATTTCTGACAGATGGCTGTCCAGCCTCTTCTTGAAAGCTTCCAGGGATGAAGCTCCCACAACTTCTGAAGGCAACTTCTCTTCCATGGGTTGATTGCTCTCACTGTCAGAAAATTCCTCCTTATTTCCAGGTTGAATCTCTCCTTGATCAGTTTCCATCTATTCTTTCTTCGGGTGCTTTGGAAAATAGGTTGACCCCCTTCCTCCTCTCTGGGGCAGCCCCTCAAATATTGGAAGACTGCTATCATGTCTCCCCTGGTCCTTCTCTTCACTAGACCAGCCAGGCCCAGATCCTGCAACCGTTCATTGTATGTTTTAGCCTCCAGTCCCCTCATCATCCTGGTTGCTTTTCTCTGCACTTTTTCTAGAGTCTCAACCTCTTTTTTTATAGTGTGGTGACCAAAACTGGATGCAGTACTCTAGGTGTGGTCTTACTAGGGCTTTATAGAGTGGTATTAGTACCTCCCTTGATCTTGATTGTGTCCCTCTGTTAATTCAGTTTAGGACTGCATTGGCTTCTGGTTGCTGCTGCACACGGCTGGCTCATGTTTAGCTGGTTATCCACTAAGACTCCAAGATCCCTCTCCCAGTCACTGCTATTAAGCCTGGTTTCCCCCAGTCTATATGTCTACTTTTGGTTTTTCTTACCTAAGTGTAGGACTTTACTTTTCTCTACACTGAATTTCATTTTGTTAGATAGGGTCCAGGGTTCAAGTCTGTCAAGATCCATCTAACTTTATTGTCATTTTAAATATACACTAATTGGCATACTTTAAAGTGAAATTTTGTTTTATTTATTAATTAATTTATTAATTTAATTTGTATACCGCCCTTCTCCCAGAAGGGACTCAGGGCGGTGAACAGCCAAAATTAAGAAACATACAAATGCAAAAGTTAAGATAATTAAAAGAATTAAATCATTGGCTACCCAAATTTAAAACCCCAAATCCATAAAATTTAAAATCCCAATTAAAAACCATTTAGGCTAGGCCGGCTTGATGAAATAAAAACGTCTTCAGGGCTTTAGGGAAGGTCCGGAGGTCCGGGATCAATCGTATTCCAGGAGGCAGCTCATTCCACAGGGCGGGTGCCCCCACAGAGAAGGCTCGCCCCCTGGGGGCCACCAGCCGACATTGCCTGACCGACGGCACCCCGAGGAGGCCCTCTCTGTGAGAGCGTATTGGCCAGTGGGAGGTTATCGGTAGCAGCAGGCGGTCTCGCAAATACCCTGGCCCTAAGCCATGGAGCGCTTTAAAGATGAGAACCAACACCTTAAAGCGCACCCGGAAGACCACCGGGAGCCAATGCAGCTCGCGCAGGAGAGGTGTTACGTGGGAGCGCCACGTCACTCCCATAATCACCCGCGCGGCCGCATTCTGCACCAGCTGGAGCCTCCGGGTGCTCCTCAGGGGGAGCCCCATGTAGAGAGCGTTACAGTAGTCCAGGCGTGACGTAACCAAGGCATGAGTGACTGTGCACAAGGAGTCCCGATCCAGAAAGGGGCGCAACTGGCGTATCAGGCGAACCTGATAAAAAGCCCCCCTGGCCACGGCCGTCATATGCTCTTCTAAAGACAGCCGTGTGTCCAGGAGGACGCCCAAGTTGCGAGCCCCCTCTGTGGGGGTCAGTGACTCGCCCCCAATAGCCAGCGATGGCACCAGCTGGCTATACCGGGACGCCGGCATCCACAGCCACTCGGTCTTGGAAGGGTTGAGCCGAAGCCTGTTCCTCCCCATCCAGACCCGCACGGCCTCCAGACACTGGGACATCACTTCGAGGGCATCATTGGGGTGGTTTGGGGTGGAAATGTACAGCTGAGTGTCATCAGCGTACAGATGGCATCGCACCCCAAAACCACGGATGATCTCACCCAGCGGCTTCACATAAATGTTGAACAGGAGCGGCGAGAGGACCAACCCTTGCGGCACCCCGCAAGCAAGGCGCCTCGAGGTTGACCTCTTCCCCTCTGCCAACACAGGCTGCGACCGGTCAGAGAGATAGGAGGAGAACCACCGCAGCACGGTGCCTCCCACCCCCAGTCCCTCCAGCCGGCGCAGCATGATACCATGGTCGATGGTATCAAAAGCCGCTGAGAGGTCTAACAGGACCAGAACAGAGGAACAACCCCTGTCCCGAGCCCTCCAGAGATCATCCACCAATGCGACCAATGCCGTCTCCGTGCTGTACCCAGGCCTGAAGCCGGACTGGCACGGATCTAGATAGACGGTTTCATCCAGGAACTGTGGGAGCTGTCGCGCAACCACACTCTCCACAACCTTCGCAACAAAGCGAAGGTTGGAGACCGGACGATAGTTTGCCAAAACGGCCGGGTCCAGAGAAGGCTTCTTGAGGAGGGGCCTCACCACCGCCTCTTTCAAGGCGGGAGGCAAGCTAATTGTTTGCATGCTAATATATCTTTTTAAAAAAATTATTTGTATTTTTTATTGAGAAAGTTAAAATACAAATTCCCCAAGAGAGAAAAAGAATAGTTTACCAAAAAAAATTATCAAAACTTCAAAAAAACATGTATTAAAAAAAAAGAAATAAGATTTCACTTAACCTTTCTGCCTTTTTTCTTTTTTTAGTGCATGCTAAAATATCTTGTGCCCTCCGGGAAAAGCTCAGACAAGCCCTCCCCTAGTAACTTCTTCCTGCAAAGTTAAGAAACCAGCTGTTTTCTTTTGCAGATGCAGCCCTGCCAGCAGACAGTGGGATACCTCATCCTGACACTTCTGCTCCTCTGGCAGCCCAGGAGAGCCTTCCAGGCACAGGGCATGCAAGAGGTAAGTGGGGGGGGAGGGAGGGGGCTGAGCCGACCCTCTGCCCGTGGTTGGCCAAAATCACTGGGTGGTGACTTTCTCTGTCCTGTGGCTTTCTTGCTTGGGGTGAGCTCATGTGGTGAGAGTTTCTTTCTCGCCAAATTTTCCAGAGTTTTCAGGTGTGTTCACGTGTAATTGGGAAAGACCTTGGGAGACGGAGGAAGGGAAGTTAGCAAGGGAACAGATAGATTAGAGGCAGCTGAGCCCTCAGCTGCATAATGGATGGAGAAAAGAGGCTCCGAAGGGACTTTCCTTAGTTTCTCAGGCTGCAAAGAGACGGTGGGAAATCTGTCCTTTCAGACAGCTTTAAAGAACAGTCAGATAAGAAATAACTTAGCCTATTTGAATGATGGGTGGTGGGGGGGAAAGAGGCTCAGAAGAAACCCTCCCTATTTTCTCAGGATATAAAAAAGACAGTGGGAGATTTGTACTTTCAGGTTTACAAGATTTTATTAATGGAGCTTGAAAACTGGTAAGAGTAAGAATAAGATCATCTTTATTGTCATTTTTACTGGGGGCACACATTAAAAATGAAATTCCATGGCCTCCTCTCAAAAGTGTACACATACTTACATACATATAGACATGCTATGTACATACATATGTATACACCTACACCCATACGTATAAATACATATAAATGTTAATCACTGTCAATCTTGAATATATGGTGGAATTGGAAAGATGAAGTTTGAAAAGGTTGATACTGCATGGAACAGAGAAGAGGCACCGTAGCCCACAGCTGCATAATGGATGAAGAAAAGAGGCTCAGAAGGGACCCTCCCTAGTTTCTCAGGCTGTAAAACAGATGGTGGGAAAATTGTACTTTCAGACTTGCAAGATTCTATTAATGTTGGTTTAGGAAACAGTCAGATAAGAGGCAAGGAATATAAATCCATCTTCCACCATTCAGTCAGAGCTGAAGAATGGGAACAGGAGCCTGAGTGGCGCAGCAGACTAATGCTACAGTTAAAGGTAGTTTTTAGCTTCCAGCTGCCTGCAATTACTGCGAGTTCAATTCTCACCAGGCTCAAGGTTGACTCAGCCTTCCATCCTTTCTAAGGTAGGTAAAATGAGGACCCGGTTTGTGGGGGCAATAAGCTGACTTTGTATAAATATACAAAAGTATGAAGGCTATTGCTTAGCGCATTGTAAGCCGCCCTGAGTCTCCGGAGAAGGGCAGCATATAAATCAAATTAAAAAAAAAAAAAAAGAATGGCCCACAGCTGCATTATGCATGGAAAGGGAGGCTCAGAAGGGACCCTCTTCTGATGGGAGGTTTATTTTTTCAGATGTCCAAGATTCTGTTAAGGCACCTTTGCAATAAAGTAGAATTAGCTCACCTGGTCAAGTTTCCTGTTTGGTCTACCTAATAAGACGGACATCTTGCTACCCTCAGTCAGGGTCAACATCATTTAGTGAGGGTGGCAGGAAGCAAAAAACACCCACAGGAGTTTTAAATAATAAAGTCTGCTGGCTGAGGAATTCTGGGAGTTGAAGTCCACAAGTCTCAAAGTGGCCGGGTTTGGAGACTTCTGGACACACCCAGTTCCCACAACCATTTATTGTATGTTTTCCAGGAGACGTCTGCCAGATCTTTAGGCTGGAGATTTAGGGGAGACCTTGAGACCTTCTGCCTGCATAGCCACTGTCCCTTCACTCTCCATCTTCTTTTATGTCACAGCAGCCCCTTGACCCCGCGCTCGGCCCTGGCCCAGGACGGCTTCCTCCTTCCAGGGAAGAGAAGTCCACGACTGACCTGGTGGCCAAAATGTTATTCCTGAACGAACTGGTGTCCTTGGAGAACGACGTCTTTGAGACCAAGAAGAAGAGAAGCTTCACTGGATTTGGTTCACCCCTCGACAGGCTTTCAAAGGGCCTGAAGACCAAGCAGAGGTGGGTGACTCCTCCTTCTCCTCCTCCTTCTTCATACTTGCTGCTCTTGAGGTGATTGATGACGATGTTCTCCATTCAGTCGTGTCCGATTCTTGGTCATCCTCTGGGCCAGGTGGTCTCTCCACCTCTTCCAGTCTTGCTCTGCTTCTTTGAGTTGTTCAGGGCTCTGGCTGGGGTCAGATTTGATGGTCTCCAGCCACCCTTGTTCTTTGGAGGCCTGGTTTCCTTTGACCGCTAACTCTTCCCAACACAACTGCTTTCTCCGATGAATTCTTCTGCATCACGGGATCAAAGTAAGGGAGACGCAGTTTCCTGATATTGCTTTCTTTCAATCAGAATGGAGCTGGAAGGGACCCTGGAGATCTTCTAGTCCAGGGGTCTCCAACCTTGGCAACTTTAAGACCTGTGGGCTTCAACTCCCAAAATTCCTCAGCCAGCAAAGCTGGCTGAGGAATTCTGGGAGCTGAAGTCCACAGGTCTTAAAGTTGCCAAGGTTGAAGACCCCTGTTCTAGTCCAACCCTCTGCTCAAGTAGGAGACCCTACACCATTTTAATCCAATCTCTTCTTAGAAACCTCCAGTGATGGAGCTCCCACAACTTCTGGAGGCATCTTCTGTTCCACTGGTTGATTGTCCTCATTTGTCAGAAAATTTCTCCTTAGTTCTAGGCTCATTCTTGTGACCTGTCTGGTTTGAGGTGGTTACTGCTAGGGAAATTGAGTTGGTGGAATTGGTTGGAAGACAACCCAAGACCACCCAAGAACATCCATGGGGTTAAGATCCTGCTTTGCAGCTTCACGTACGCATCTCCTTGAGTTACAACAGTTCAAAGTTCCAACAGCACTTTGAAAAAAGTGACTTATGGACCGTTGTTCACAGTTACGACCACATGCTCCCCATGGCCTCCCCATGGTCATGTGATCAAAATTCAGAGGCTTGGCAACTGGTTCATATTTACGACGGTTGCTGTGTCTCGGGATCACGTGATTCCCTTTTGTGACCTTCTGGCAAGCAAAGCCAATGAGGAAGTTAGGTTCTCTTAACACCCGGGTTACTCACTTAACAACTAGAGTGATTCACTTAACAACTTTGGCAAGAAAAGTTGTAAAACAGGGCAAAAGTCATGTAACAACAGTCTTGCTTAGCAACAGAAATTTACAATTGTCGTTGTAAGTCAAGGACTACCTGTATTTATGGTGGTTTCCGTTCAAGTCCCAACTAGATGTGACAGGTGTGGAATGAACTGGATGGAAACTCATCCAGGAGAGAAGCAACCTGGAATTAAGGAGAAACTTCCTAACAGTGAAGACAATTAACCAGTGGAACAGCTTGCCACAAGAAGTTGTGGGTTCTCCATCACTGGATGTTTTTAAGAAGAGGTTGGACAGCTATTTGTCCAGAATGATGTAGGGTCTCCTGTCTGAGCAGAGGGTTGGACTAGAAGACCTCCAGGGTGCCTTCCAACTCTGTTATTCCGCTATTCTGTTATTCTGAGGGGCTGCCCCAAAGAGGAGGGGGTCCACCTATTCTCCAAAGCACCAGAAAGCAGGACAAGAAGCAACAGATGGAAACTAATCGTGGAGAGAAGCAACCTGGAATTGAGGAGAAATTTCCTGACGATGAGAACAATTAACCAGTGGAACTGCTTGCCACCAGACGTTGTGGGAGCTCCATCACTGGAGGTTTTTAAGAAGAGATTGGACAGCCATTTGTAACAGAGCAGGAAGGGACTTTGGAGGTCATCTAGTCCAACCCCTTGCTCACGCAGGAGACCTGTACCAGGGATTCGAACTGCCGACCTTTCTGATCGACAAGCTCAGTAGGGGCTGGACTAGAAGACCTCCAAGGTCCCTTCCTGCTCTGTCTTTCTGTTATTCGGAATTCTATTTGGGAGCCAACTGAACGGAGGACCTGCAAGAATGACTTTTTTTAAGGCGTCAGCATGAAAGCAAATTGAGAAACGCCAAAGAGTGCAATTTGAGGAAAGGTTATATAAATGCCTGTGTCACGGGAGGGGAAAAATGAGGACCGCAAATGGTTTTCAAAATGCTGGAAAAATGGTATTCTTGGTGTGGCTAGGGAAACAAATGGCCCGAGTGGAAAAAGAGCTGTGAAGAAAATCGAAAACGCCTTAGTGACAAAGCGGCTGTGCAGTCGGCCTAAGGTGCCTGCGAAGGCTGCAGCTGCGCCCCACAATCGGAAGAATGTGGGGATTGTTGTGCGGTTCAGAGAGACGGGAGGCCAGAATGAATGTGGAAATGAAAACGGGTGCTTTTATTTGGGAAAGGGGCTTGCAAAATTCTGAAAGGATGCTGAAAAATGAACGAACCTGGGAAGGGTGATGAATCATTATGCCGAGCTGCAAGCTTTGCTCTTTAGCAGCTTTCTGAGAAATAAATGAATTTCGGAAAGGTGGTTTTGTTCGCGGACGTTTTGCAAACAGAAAAAAAAGGAGGGGGACAGCACAAAAAGAAAAAAATGGAGCTGGATGATGGAGCGTTTCGTGCAAAGCTGGAGCCGAAGGTCGATTTCCGAAGACGTTAAAAGCGATGCCTGATGGAAATGAAACATTGGAGAATAAATGAAATTCCTTAAAGAGGGTTCAGGGCGGAAGCGAGAATCGAAATACAGTGGATGATGTTCCTCTGTTTGTTGAAGGCATCGATGGAGGGATGGATGGATGGGTGCTGTGAGGGAAGGATCCTGCTGACCTTAGAGGTGTGTTGGGTGGGGACATGAAAATAGGAGTGCTTTTGTACCCAAGACTGGGGGGGGGAGGAGGAGGAGGAGGGGGAGGGGGAGGAAGAGGAGGACTGTGTAGAGCCCTTGGTGGTCTCTGAGCTGGGTTGTTTTCTTGCATGCATTTCATGACCCAACTAGGTAACATCATCAGTGCTAGAAGGGCAGAGGGGTTTGCTGATGGAGAAGTTAATTCTACTCCTAATTTCATTTCATTTCATTGATTAGATCTGTATACCGCCCTACTCCCAAAGGACTCAAGGCGGTGAACAGGCACAGAATAAAACACATAAATACAAAAGTTAAAAAACTATAATTAAAACCAAATTAAATAATTTCGCCCGAGACAATTAAAATTCCCAATGATGTTCCGTAGTTGGGTCATGAGATATCTGCAAGTAAATAATCATGTTCAGAGAGCACTAAGGACCCCACAGTCCTCCCCCTCCCCCTCCCCCCATCTACATACCTCTCTCCCTTCTAACAGTGATGCTGTTCCCTAGTTGGGTCATGAAACATCTGCAAGAAATCAACCCAGCTCAGAGAGCACCAAGGACCCCCCAGTCTTTCTCCTCCTCTTCCTCCTCCCACAAACCCCCCTCCCTTCTAGCTGATGGTGTTCCCTAGTTGGGTCATGAAATGCCTGCAAGAAAACCTCCAAGCTCAGAGAGCACCAAGGACTCCACAGCCCACATTCTCTTCCATGAGTCGGCAGGAAGGCCCTGGGGACGGTGGGGTCTACTCTACCCGCCAGGCCTGGAAGAAGCCCCCAGACTCCTCCTCCTTGACTCCTGTCTTTCTTGCAGGAAAGTCGTGCCGCTGCCAAAGAAGCGGTTTGGACTTCCTCTGGACCGGATCGGCGTGAATCGCCTGAGCAGCTCCAGAGCTTAGGAGAAGCAGGTAAGACCAAGATTCTCACCCAAAGCCCATGTAAGCATGTGCCAGGCGCCCACCCCCCACGGTCTCTTGCCAGGGGCTGGGGAGGGGGACAGAGGGGGGGCGGGGAGGACCCCAGATGAAGAATTACGTTCCCGTTTTCCTCCTCCGTCTTCCATTGGTGGGAAGCTCTTGGAGGCTCCTCATGGAGGTCTCAACCTTCTCCCTATTCTAGGGCCACCTCCAGGGTTTTAAAAGCCTCTTGGGGGGAACTGCAACTGGGTGGAATCTGGGGGCTACGTGGGTAGAGTTTTCAAGGGACCCAAAAAACTGAATTGGCACCCTGGGCTAAATGGAAGTTTACTTTACTTTACTTATTATTATTTATGTTGTTATTTATTATTATTATTATTATTATTATTATTATTATTATTATTATTATTATACTATTTTATTTTATTTTACATTACAACTTTACTTTATTTACTTTATTTTACTTCATTTCACTTCACTTCTTTATTTCATTTCCTTTCATTTCATTTATTACTTTATTTTATTATTTATTTTTATTTGTATTTGTATCCCACCTTTATTATTTTTGCAAATAACTCAAGGTGGCAAACATACTAATATTTCTTCCTCCTATTTTCCCCACAACAACAATCTTGTGAGGTGGATTAGGCTGAGAGACTGGCGCAAAAGCTACCCAGCTGTCTTTCATGACTAAGGCGGGACAAGAACTCATTGTCTCCTGGTGATTGGCCCAAAGTCACCCAGGCGGCTTTCGTGCCTAAGGCGGGACTAGAACTCACCTGGTGATTGGCTCCAAAGCTTTCATGCCTAAGGCAGGACTCGAACTCAGAGTTTCCTGATTTCTAGCTTAGTGCCATAACCAGTAGACCAAATTGGCTCTCTTAAACATTAACCCAGATTTGCATGCCATGGCTAACACAGCCCTGATTGCGTAACTCGGTTTAACCTGGTTAACGATATTAGCCAACATCAGGTGCCGTCTGGGTGCTGCTCCATCTGGGAGATTCAAACCGGAGGATTCCTCGCCAATCTTGCAAACCGAAAGCCTCGGATTCGATTCCTTCCATCTGCAGACGGGCTGGGAAAAATTCCTTCCATTGTGCTTTTCTCGTGGGTCAAAAGAGGGAAAGAATTAAATGCATCTGGAATATATAACCGCTTTTAATTCATTGGTTTAATCGCAATTTGTGTTTCTATTAAAACAAGCCTCCATAAAACTCTTTATTCCCACCCACTTGGCTTGTCGAACCCCTTCCATGGCCAGATGCAGCCCCCTCCTCCCAAATACCCACCTACCCACCTGGTCTGCTACGAAATTTGTCTTCCAGGGTAGAAGCTGGAAAGCTCCTTCTGATTCAGTTTCCCTTCCTTTCCTACAGATTCCCGCCTCCTGGAAGGTCCCCCCAGGCCTGGAGAAAGAACCGCTCTGCTCCCCCCAACCCATTTCTTCCCAAAGACGTTGCAATTAAGGGAACCTTTTGTTAAGCTGCTTCCTCTGTAGTTCTTTGCCCAGTATTTCTGGCTAATTTCGTTCTGTTCACTGACGCTCTGTCCTCCTGATAAACAGGCACAGAAAGGCTCTTTGTGTGTGTGTGTGTGTGTGTGTGTGTGTGTGTGTGTGTACATGTACTATATAAGAATTGCATTGCATGCCATTGACAATAAAATAAAAGGATGACTTTAGGCATTTGTAAGGTTCCTGGGCGGTTGTGTTGATGTCCTTCTTCCCGGACCGATTCACAAAAGTTGTGAGCACAGTTGTGGAGGGCTACAACTGAAGCTCTTTCCCAACTCTTTGCAGGTTGGGGGGGGGATTCTGGGAGTCACCCAGTTTTCAGCTGCCAAGGTTGAGAAACACTGTGGGGTCCTTGGTGCTCTCTGAGCTTGATGGTTTTCTTGCAGACGTTTCATGACCCAACTAGGGAACATCAGTTGATAGAGAAGATGACGTTACTGAGTTTGGTAATGAAACCTCTGCAAGAAAGCCATCAAGCTCAGGGAGCACCAAGGGCCCCACAGTCCTCCTTCCTCTTCTCCACGAACCCCATTCCCTTCTAGCACTGATGATATAACCCAGTTGGGTCATGAAATGTCTGCAAGAAAACAAACCGAGCGCAGAGAGCACCAAGGACCCCACAGTCATCTTCCTCCTCCTCCTCCTCCTCTTCTTCCTCCTCCTCTCCACGAACCCCATTCCCCTTCTAACACTGATGATGTTACTTAGTAGGGTCATGAAATGCGTGTAAGAAAATCACCTACCTCAGAGAACACCAAGGGCCCCACAGTTTGACCCTCAACTACACAGATCCTGTTTTTTCCCTTGAGAAAGTCTTCGGAGAGGGGCGGCATACAAATTGAATTAATAAGTAATAAATAAATAAAGACTCCCCGGTCACTCCATGTTATCTGGTGGAATGAGCTACAGTTCATCGAAGAATAAAATGTCACCTGCATCATTCCTCATTGTAGCCATGGCCTACTCTATCCCCTGCAGGATGAAGGCCTCTTCCGCCCGTTTCCAACGCAGACGGTCCTGAGCTTCCTTTTGCCAATTGGACCCGCAGTACTTGCTGATGTCATCGCTCCATCTTGTTGTAGGTCTCTTTTGATCAAGTGGGATCCGTTGTCTGTGACTGCCTTGGTCCACCTGCCACCAGTTCTCCTTGCTACGTGATCAGCCCCATTTCCATTGCAATTCTTTTGACTCTTCTGATGGGATCGTGTGCTTGTGTTTGTTCTCTGATCCACGCATGGGGATTTCTATCTTCTCCTGGGATGCCGAGCGTCTATCTTTCTTTGTGCCACTTGTAGCTTTTTTTTTTTTTTTAATTTGATTTATATGCCGCCCTTCTCTGGAGACTCAGGGCGGCTTACAGTGCGTTAAGCAACAGCCTTCATACTTTTGTATATTTTTACAAAGTCAGCTTATTGCCCCCATAGTCTGGGTCCTCATTTCACCTACCTTAGAAAGGATGGAAGGCTGAGTCAACCTTGAGCCTTGGCAAGATTCGAACTTAATTGCAGACAGCTAGAGTTAAATTACAATGCATTAGTCTGCTGAGCTATCCAGGCTCCTGGATTTTTGTATCAATTGTGAGATTAGTGTCCATGTTTTGCCACCATATGTTAGAGCAGGTAGAATGCACGGATCGAAATCTTCCCTCTATAGGCAGAGAGGGAAAGTTGTTCTTGAAAATTACGCTTAGCTTGCCCAGTGCCTGCCAACCCCATTGGACACGCCCTTCAGCTTCCTAGAATAAAATGTGCTAGGGAGGAAAAGGGGCTACCAGGTTCTTTCTCATTTCTACTCCATTCTGGAATATCTTCTCCTAAATCCTCTGTTCTCATCCTGACCAATCTGATTATGGATACTCTGCTCTAGAATGGGAAGGATAAAAATTCAAGAAGAATTCCTTTTCCGGCCACTAGAGGGCAGAGCGCCCTTTGGTGAGAGAACCAGACATTCCCAATGTTGGCAGTTTCCAGGCCTGTGGACTTCAACTCCCAGAATTCTCATCAATAACCAAGCTGGGTGTGGAATCTGGGATTTGAAGTCCAGGCATCTGGAAATGGCCAAAATTGGGATCAGGGAGCTATGATCTCACTACAGGTAGTCCTGAGTAGAGTAGAGTAGAGTAGAATAGAATAGAATGCGGAATGGAGTGGAGTGGAAAAGAAGAGAAGAGAAGAGAAGAGAAGAGAAGAGAAGAGAAGAGAATAACAGATTTGTAAGGGACCTCAGAGGTCTTCTAGTCCAACCTTCTGCTTAGGCAGGGAACCCTATATCATATCAGACAAATGGTTGTCCAATCTCTTCTTAAAAACTTCCAGTGTTGGAGCATTCGTCTGGACTTACGACCACAATTGGGCCTATCATTTTTGGATTTTTGTTGCTAAGCAAGACACATGTTAAGTGAATTTTGTCTCGCTTTATGACATTTCTTGCCACAGTTGTTAAGTGAATTGCTGCAGCTGTTAATTAGGCAGTCCTTAAGTGAAACCGGCTTCCCCCATTGACTTTGCTGGCTGGGAAAGTCACAACTGGCTGTCACTGCACCCTGGGATGCTGGTTGGGAAGCAGCTACAGTTTGATCATGTAACCATGGCGACGCTGTGATGGTCGTAAGTGTGAAGAGTGGTCATTAATCAAGTAACAACCATGTCACTGACATATCAACTGCAGTGATTAATGCACTTAACATCTGTCTCACTTAAGAAGGGGAATTCTACGGTCAATTCTGGTTGTAAATCAAGAATTACCTGTATCTTTCATCTTGTCCTGCTTTTGCCCCTGTATGAAATGCAGCCTTGAGTATTTTCCGTGGTCTGAATATTGTATAAAACTCCACCAGGACAGTTCTCTGGCCACCACACTACAAAAAAAGAAGTTGAGACTTTGGAAAAAGTGCAAAGAAGAGCAACTAAGATGATTAAAGGCTTAATATAAGAGACTAAAACATACAAAGAACAGTTGCAGGAATTGGCCAGTCTAGAGAAAAGAAGGACTAGGGGGGGACATGATAGCATTCTTCCAGTATTTGAGGGGCTGCCACAAAGAAAAGGGGTCAACTTATTCTCCAAAGCACCAGAAGCCAGAACAAGAAGCAATGGATGGTAACTCATGAAGGAGAGAAACAACCTGGAATTAAGGAGAAACTTTCTAACAGTGAGAACAATTAACCAGTGGAACAGAAGTTGCCTCCAGACATTGTGGATGCTCTATCTCTAGAGGCTTTTATGAAGAGATTGGACAACCATTTGTCTGGAATGGTAGAGGCTCTTCTGCTCGAGTAGAGGGTTGGACTAGAAGACCTCCAAAGTCCCTTTCAGTCCTAGCATTCTATGATTCAACCTGGAACTAAGGAAAAGTTTCCTGACAGTGAGAACAATTAACCAGTGGAAGGGCTTCCCTTCAGCAGTTGTGGGAGCTTCATCACTGAAGGTTTTTAAGAAGAGACTGGACAGTCACTTGTCTGAAATAGAAATAATAAGAGCACTTAAAACTTATATACCGCTTCACAGGGCTTTTACAGCCCTCTCTAAGCGGTTTACAGAGTCAGCCTCTTGCCCACAACAATCTGGGTCCTCATTTGACCCACCTCGGAAGGACAGAAGGCTGAGTCAATTTGGTGATATTCAAACTGCCAAATTGCAGGCAGCCAGCAGTCAGCAGAAGTAGCCTGCAGTACTGCACTCTGACCACTGCGTCACTCAGCTCTTGGCATAGGGTCTCCTGCTTGAGCAGAGGGTTGGACTAGAAGACCTCCAAGGTCCCTTCCAACTCTGACAACATTCTTTGTTCTTCCAAGTTGCATCTGTTTTTGTTTAGTGGCCTTGTATTTTTACACGTGTCAGCTCATAACCAGAAACAGAAGCTGGAACATCTGGAGCCCAGCTGTTGCACGTCCATTGGGTGTGGTGTATTTCCAGAACAGCTACACACAACCTAGTTGCACCAGAAGCAGGAGCTAAGGAGACCCACTCACGCTCGCAAGCAGACGCATCTGAAGGCCGCCATCACCGGACGGGCACAAGATGTTAAACTGGCTTAGGGTTTATCTCTGTTTGTGGTTTAGTGGGATGTCTGAGCCCAGCATGTGGGGTGAACTTAACAGTCAATGTAGAGCAGTGGTTTGCAACCTCTTCTTCACCACGGAACCCCTTTAAATACCTTTTGTGGCCACGGACCCCCAAGACTAAACTCGAGATTTAAATCATAAAGAGGGGTCCTTGATGCTCTCTTAGCTTCCTTGTTTTCTTACAGACGTTTCATGACCCAACTAGGGAACATAATCAGTGCTACTGAGGAGTGCTGTTTGCTGTTAGCTTATATTTTGGTGGCTTGCTTGTCTGTGTTGGTGGGGGCGGTCATAAAGATTCTTTGGTTCGGCTGTTTACTGATGCCTCTTTGGCAGTTTCTTGATTGGGGAATTGTTTACTAGATTGTTGGTATGGTGTTAACAGCAAACAGCATTCCTTACTAGCACTGATGATGTTACCTAGCTGGGCCATGAAACGTCTGTGAGAAAACAAGCAAACTCAGAGAGCACCAAGGACCCCACAGTCCTCCTCCTCCTCCAAGACTTCGCAGACCCCCTGGAACGACAACACAGGAGGTGGCGCAGTGGTTAGAGTGCAGTACTGCAGCTACTTCAGCTGACTGCTAGTTCAGCAACTCAGCGGATCAAATCTCACCGGCTCAAGGTTGACTCAGCCTTCCATCCTTCCGAGATGGGTAAAATGAGGACCCAGATTGTTGGGGGCAATATGCTATTTAGTATACTGTCTTTGGTGTAAGCCGCCCAGAGTCCTCGGAGAGTGGGCGGCATAGAAATATGACTAATAAATAAATAAATAAATAAATAAATAAATAAATAAATAAATAAATATAAATAAATAAATAAATAAATAAATAACACAGCCCCCACCCCAGGCTCTGAGGATCATAGGCTGAGAACCAATGATGTAGTAGAGCATGAGCTCAGCAGATGGTGGAACAAGCTGTATGAAGATAAGGGCCACGGATGGTCCCCCACTTTTGTTCAGATCTGCTCCCAGATTCAGGACCGAGTATTGAAGCCTCCGGTTCCCCGGATGAAGAAGAGCTGGGATCCAACTTCTAGAAGGTCTCTGAGGCTGGTCAAAATCTATAGAAAAGGAAGTTGCATTCTCCAACCACCACAATTGTCAAAAAGACAACCTGGAAGATGGAGATTTCCACCACAGCCTGGGTGGCATCCATGGGACACTTTTCAATGCGATGCTTATGGCACAGAATGGCAGACTTTGGCTCTTCTCCCTCCCTCCCTCCCTCTCCCTCCCCCCCCCCCCCCTCACCCCCACACACCCACCACACAAACAACATTTGCACACACACAAGGCCCCCCCCCCCCACCACACACAGCATAGACCACACAAACAAACATTTGCTGTTGCATTTTGGTCCTTCCCTGAAAGCAATCTTCCTGAGCCCCCAGGGGGTAGGGGAAACCATTTGTTTGCCATAGAAGGGAATATTTGTGGCTCAGAGGCAGAGGTGGGTTGCAGCAGGTTCTGACCAGTTCTGGAGAACCAGTAGTGGTAGCGGAAATTGAGTAGTTCGAAGAACCAGTAGTAAAAATTCTGATTGGCCCGCCCCCATCTATTCCCTGCCTCCCAAGTCCCAGCTGATTGGGAGGAAATGGGGATTTTGCAGTATCCTTCCCCTGCCATGCCTACCAAGCCATGCCTACCAAGCCATGCCACACCTAGTAAGCCACACCCATATAAGTAATCTTAGCAGTATTAATAGCTATATTTGCTTATTTATAATCACATTCATTATACTAGCATACAACTATAGTCATATAACAACGTCCATCTGTATTTGCACATACAATAATCCACCTTCATCTAACTCAACCTCTTCTCTCTAATCATTGATAAAACCGATCCCACGTTGAGTACTTCTCTGTATCTCCTTTATCTTTTATTTTCCATGTCGGTCTATCCATCTCTGCACCATCCAATATTTTCAAATTATTCTTTCAGCCTTATTAAGATACCACCAAACCCCTTCCCTTCTAGCCCTGATCAGGTTACCTAGTTTGGTAATGAAACGTCTGCCGGAAAACCACCAACTGAAAGAGCACCAGGGAGGAAACAGCCCAGGCTGCCCCACGAGAGGCTGAACTTCTCCAGCAAATCCGTTCTTCTCACCCAAGAAGCCAATTTGATCCCAATCCCAGCTGAGAAACTTTTATTCTCTCTCTCTCTCTCTCTCTTGTCTCTCTCTCTCTCTCTCTCTCTCTGTCTCCCATCGAGACTATATATAGATATCCTGGATTACGGCTATTTAACCACTGGTTGGAAATGATATGATCAGCATTAACTAAGAGGTTTTGGGGACACAGCAGAATTTCAGTTGCAGCTCAGCTGGGACCTTGGAAAGAGCCCGCTGGGTTTTCTCTCAAGGCTGACTTCCTGAGTTTCCCCAACAATTCCAATTACTTTGGCATTTCCGGTCACTTCTAGGGATGGGGGATGAAATACCAGGGAAAGAATGGAGCTCAATTTCCCCTAGACACGAAGGGCTGCCCCAAAGGCAAAGGGGTCAAACTATTCTCCAAAGCACCAGAAGGCAAAACAACATCTCAACATCTTTTTTTCCCTGAATATTGCAACTGAATATTTCATCCGGTTTTGGTCACCACACTATAAAAAAGATGTTGAGACTCTAGAAAAAGTGCAGAGAAGAGCAACCAGGAGGCTGAGGGGGCTGGAGGCTAAAACATACAAAGAAGGGTTGCTGGAATTGGGTGTGTCTAGTTGAATGAGAAAAAGGACCAGGGGTCCTTTTATGATAGCAGTGTTTTAATCTTTGAGGGGCTTCCCCAAAGAAGAGGGAGTCCGGCTATGCTCCAAAACACCAGAAGGCTGGACAAGAAGCAACGGATGGAAAGTAATCAAGGAGAGAGGCAACTGGAGTTAATGAGACATTTCCTGACAGAACAATTAGAATAGAATAGAGTTCGAAGGGACCTTGAAGGTCTTCTAGTCTAGCCCCCTGTTCAAGCAGGAGAACCTATACCATTTCAGACAACTGATTGTCCAGTCTCTTTTTAAAAAACTCCAGTGTTGGAGCTCCCACAATTAACCAGTGGAACAGCTTGCCACCAGAAGTTCTGGCTGCTCCATAACTGGAGGTTTTTAAGAAGAGAGTGGGCAGCCATTTGTTTGAAGTGGTTTAGACTCTCCTGCTCGAGCAGGGGTTTGGTTTAGATGACCTCCAAGATCCCTTCCAACTCTGTTATTTGAAGAAGGGCAGATTCGCAACATATTGTCTCTCCCCCTTCTGTGATGCACAAATCTTTTTCTCATGCTTCCAATCCACCCTGGTTCTGAAAATGCTTCCCCAAATCTTATAGCCAAAGGCTCTCTTTCCTTTCTCTTGAAGGGATGGGATTGATTGGTTTATATCCCACCTTTATTATTTTTATAAAGAGCTCAAGATGTGGCCTCCTTCCTCTTTCACTTTTCCCAACAACCACCCTGTGAGGTGGGCTGAAAGAGAGAGAGAATTGCCAAAGTCACCCAGCTGTCCTTCATGCCTAAGGCAGGACTAGAACTCACCGTCTCCTGATCATTGGCCCAGTCACCCAGACAGCTTTTGTGCCAAAGGCAGGACTAGAATTCACAGGCTCCTGGCGATTGGCCCAAAGTCACCCAACTGTCTTTCATGCCTAAGGTGGGACTAGAACTCACCGTCTCCTGGCCCAAAGTCCCCCAGCCGAGTTGGGTAGGGAAGGAAAGACAGGCCACCTGTTCTTGGGCCACATGGCATGATCTGGAAGCCGCCACCATTTCCCAAGCAGCCACATTGCATCATAACTGGTCGTTAAGCAAGGACTACCTGTATTCAAGTCTCCAGGTTTGGCCTCAGCAGTGGGAGAAGAAAAGAGAGAAAAATGAGGATTTTGACTGCCTTTGATGGGTTGACACTTCTGCTATTTCATTCCCAAATCGGATGGGCCCTTTTGGAAGGAGTCTCGGGCTGCTGGCTGATGTTCAGCCGGTTGCCAGTGTCCAAGACAGATGTTGCATTATCAAACCCTACATTCCCCATCTTTTATGTCTGCCCTTCATTCACACATACAGACACACACACACACACGTGATTTCTCCTGGTTGAAGGGCATTGTGTTCTTCTCAGCCGAATCCTTCAAAAGCATCCAAATTAAATTTCAATTTTATTCCCTTATCCTGGGCATTGAGCCAGACCTCCCAATTCTCCGTCCTTCTCCAATTAACAGCTTCTCCATCCCATTGTCCATTCAGGAAAATGTTGAATAATCCCGCGTCCCTCCCCTCCCCGAAGAGAAGGAACCTTGCCATGCATTTCTCCAATCCAAACACCTGCAGTCAATCACACAGGAGCCACCACCGGGGGGGAAAAAAACGCGACCCGTCCTAGCTGGCCGATGAGCTGTGTTTTCTGCAATTGACTTTAATGAGTCCGTTTCATCCTGCCTCCTCCATCAATCCTCCTTCCGAGGCGCTTTCTCAATTCCCATTTTTCTAGTCTGGACTGCAGAAAATCCGGTTGGAGCCACAGGGAGAAAAAAGAAATTGCGGCAGCCTCTGAAACAGATGGAAAAATCAGCCGAAGTGGGGTGGGTGGGCAATGGCTTTAAGGGGAGACAAAGCTGAGCAGGCCCTTTATGCACACAGACACACAGAAAAGGGAGGCTTTGAGGAGTGACAGGAAGAGGGTTTTTTTTTGTTTGTTAACAACGCATAACTTCAAGATTCTCCTCTGGGGAGCTTCGGAAGTCCTGCGCCCGGGCTAAGAATATATTGCCCTTCCTGTTTGCCTGCTGGCTGCCAACTCCTCTGGCAGGGAGCAGCCGTTGCAGTGGGTGGAAGCGCCTTCACGAGAGACCCAGTCTGGAACGGAGGAGGAATTTCCTGGCAGGGAGCACAATCAGTCAGCTTCCCTCCGGAAGTCGTGGGCGCTTTTAAGAACCATTTGTCTGTAATGGCCTAGGGCCGAGCAGGGGGTTGGACTAGAAGACCTCCGAGGTCCCTTGCAGAGCTACGATTCAAAAGGGAGGGAGGGAGGGAGGGAGGGAGGGAGGGAAGAGAGAGGGCAGGAGGGAGGGCAGGAAGGAAAGAGGGAGGAGACCAATGGATGAAAGTTCATTAGAGAAAGATTTAATTTCCTGAATTTCCTGACCGTCTGAACAATTCATCTTTGGAACAGCTTCCTTCCCAGAGCCGTCAGTGCTCCGTAGGCATCTTCAAGAAAATTTTGGCCAACTGGGTTAGTATAAAGACAAGAGGTTGGACTAGAAGACCTCCACAGTCCCTTCCAGCCCTAGAATTTATCAGTCAGCCAAACCCAGTACAGAGGACGAGGTGCCCAGTCTACTGGCAAACATAGAACACAGAATATATAGAACATATATTGGCAAAAAATCCGGCTCATTTTTTTGGCTTCCCACTTACAGTAGGGATTCTTCTTAGGACGTCTGCTTTCAATCTCCGCTGGAAAATTACGGCATGCCTTGGCTGTGCACACACCCATCTTTCCTGCAAAGGAAGAGTGAAGGATTGCCTCATCTCCCTGCCATGAATGGCCATCCAGACACATTTCATTGTTGGGCGTTGTGTGAAGCCAGCTTAGTTAAACTGGGTTAACTGAATGAAATTAGGTTTATAAAGGGAGCTAGCTAGATACAAGTGTTAACCTGGCCTGGCCTAACTCTCCCTTTTAAATTTTTAAATCATTTGATTTGTTTTATAAATTGGGTGTTTTAATCTGTGTTTTCGGCCAAAATATTTAATAATTTTAAGGGACTTTTAATGTTTGTGTTATCTGTATTTTATCTTGGCTGTTCACCGCCCTGAGTCCTCCGGGAGTAGGGCGGTATAGAAATTTGGTAAATAAATAAATAAATAAACCACATCCGTCCAATGTGCTTAAACCAAAGTAACCTTTTTTCTAGGCACATACAATATCAAACAGGCTGGATTTGCAGAAGAAAACAAAGCCACCAAAGATTAACCAGGATTAATGCTAACTAGGTTTAAACATGTGGACAGTATTTACCTGTTTGGTCTTTACCTGTAATAGTTAAATACATCAATCAGGGGTGAAATTCACTTACCTTCCCTACCAGTTCGCAAATGTGCGCGCACCAGGCCTACCATATACTATTTCAGATAAGTGACCACCTAGTCTCTTCTTAAAAACCTCCAGTGTTCGATCACCCACAACGTCTTGTGACGAGCTGTTCCTCTCAGCCTGGCAGGAATGAACTGAGTCAAACACAAATGCGTCAAAACTCGGGTTTTGCTTCCCATAAACAGACCATGGCTTCAGAACGCGGAGAGATGGTTAAATCCAAGTCCATGTAAAGTCAGTGCTGGGAGCATCTGCCTTCCAGCGCTGCTTTTGAGCCTGTGGCCCCACCCCCCAATTGTCCGGCTGCCACGCCCCCCAGTAGCCAGCATCTGGCCGCTCCTGCCCAGGGGTGAAATCCAGCAGGTTCTGACAGGTTCTGGAGAACTGGTAGCGGAAATTTTGAGTAGTTCGGAGAACCGGCCAATACCACCTCTGGCTGGCCCCAGGAGCGGGGAGGGAATGGGGATTTTGTAGTATCCTTCTGCTGCCACGCCCACCAAGCCACACCCACCAAGCCATGCCCACAGAACCGGTAGTAAAAAAAATTGAATTTCACCAGTGATCCGGCCCTCATAGAATCCCTCATGGTGGCAATACCGCCGTTGCCTTCTGAGCCATTCCATCTGAGTAGAGCTGGCCAGTAGATCATCGATGTCTCAGCAGCTGCAGGGCATCAGCTGGGCAATGCAGGAGAAGCCGGGAGTCATGGGCCACACACGTCAGAGGCATGCCCGTTATTGCGGTGGCGCTGCCTCCAACTCCACTCCAGCCACCAGCATTCTCGCCGCGCCACTTCCCCCCCAGGTATGGTGAGCCCGTGAACAGGGCTCCACAGGCAGCTCCCCTCTACCAGGGGTCCACCTGGAAGACAGAACATGGAAGTGTTAGTCGTTGCGGGGTGACCTGTGACCATCTCCCCCGGTTTTCTGTCGATGGAACTGTCACCGTAGCCGGGCAGCATTCATATCCCGTTCCAGTACCCAGGAGGCTTCGGTGGTAGGGTAACCCTTCCACTGGACTAGGTACTGGAGCTTACCCCGATGTAACCATGAGTCTAGAACCTTATCTATTTCCTAATGGTCCTGTCCCACAGGTCCCAGGGGTTCCAGTAGGGGTCTCATCTGAGTGGCCTCTACAGGCTTTAACAAGTTACTCAGGGGTGAAATGCTCCCGGTTCGGACCGGATCGCCTGATCCGGTAGCGATGGGAGGCGGGTGGTTCAGAGAACCATTAGCAAAAATCCCTGCGCCTCCCCCCATGCCCAGCTGAGCCGCGTGATCATCAGAGGTTTTTTTTTTTTTTTACTTTTAAAAGCATTTTTTCTACAACCTCTTTGGCCGGAAAAAATGCTTTTAAAAGTTAAAAAAAAAAAAGCCTCTGATGATCGCACGGCTCAGCTGGGATCGTCAGAGGCTTTTAAAAGCATTTTTTTTTTACAACCTCTTCGGCTGAAGAGTGTAGGGAAAAAAATGCCTTTAAAAGCCTCTGGCGATCCCAGCTGAGTTGCCTGATCGTCAGAGGCTTCTAAAAGCATTTTTTTCCTGCAACCTCTTAAGGTTGTAGAAAAAATGCTTTTAAAAGTTAAAAAAAAAAAAGTTGAACACACCCACCCAGTCACATTACCTCCCCCCCCAAGCCACGCCACAGAACCATGCTTAACGCATTGTAAGCCGCCCTGAGTCTCCGGAGAAGGGCGGCATATAAATCAAATTAAAAAAAAAAAAAAACCAGTAGTAACAAATTTTAGATTTCACCCCTGAAGCTACTGTGGAACACAAGATGCCCCCGGCCCAGTAAGGACGGGAGCTTCAGTTCCACAGTCACGGGGTTGATGTCCTGGATGATAGGGAATGGGCCTAGGTATTTTAGGCCTAGCTTTTTACATGGTACCCTCAGTTTGAGGTGCTTAGTTGACAAATACACTAGGTCCCCCACCCTAAAAGGTCTATGTGTTGCCTGCTTCTTGCCAGCCTGGACCTTATAGGTTTCGGCCGCTTTTTGTAACACCTTTTTCACTGCCCCCCAGACGTCCGGTATCATGCCTGCCCATTACTTTGAGGCCTGGGGGTCATGAGTCTACTCGGGTATAGCCACAAACTCCATCCCGTTCACCGCCCAGTCCTTCTGCTGATAGGAGACATAGCATCTTCAGATAGCATTCAGTCATGGCGTTGGCTCTTTCGTTGGCCCCATTGGTACTGGGGTGAAACGCTGAGCCTTGGGTGGAGCCTATCAGCTGGATAAAGTCACGCCAAAGTTTGGTGGTGAATTGAAACCCCCCTATCTGAGATGATACGTTGGGGTTCCCCATGGAGACGGTAGATATGCCCAATGAACAATTTAGTTAGCTGCCATGCCGATGGTATCTCAACACATGGTACGAAATGGGCCTGTTTCGAGAACAGGTCTATGACCGTCCATATAACTGTATGCCCGTTGCTCTCTGGCAGATTCACTATGAAGTCCATGGCGATCTCCTCCCACAGTCGGACGGGATCAGCCATGATCTGTAGTAGGCCTAGCAGTTTTCCGGGCAGCACCTTTGTCATTGCACATGTTGGGCAGCTCTGTACATAGTCCTCGATCTTCGACTGCATATGAGGCCATCAGAACTGCTGTTTGGCCAGGTGTAACTTTTTAAGGAACCCGAAATGGCCAGCCTGCCTTACGTCGTGGCTGTAGCACCGTGGGCCTAAGGGTAGCCGGGATATATAACCTGTCACCTTTCCAGGCTAATCCGTCTTGATGAGTGCGCAGTGCTTGGGTCTCCAAGAGCCACAGGTTGTTCAACGATGCTGCTTGCAGTTCCTTTGTGAGGCCATCACCAGGGATCGCACCACCCACCCGAGCCAGCAGGGCATTGGACGCATTTGTGTTCGGCTCAGTTCATTCCTGCCAGGCTGAGAGAAAGTCAGCGCTGGGAGTGTCCGCCTTCCAGCACTGCTTTTGAGCGTGTGGCCCCACTCCCCAATTATCCGGCTGCCATGCCCCCCCCCCCCCCCCCCCCAGTAGCCAGCATCCGGCTGGTCCGGCCCTCATAGCATCCCTTATGGCGGCAATCTGGTCGTTGCCTTCTGAGCCGCTCCGTCTGCATAAAGCCGGACAGCAGAATGTCGATGTCTTGGCAGCTGCAGGGCATCGGCTGGGCAATCCAGGAGAAGCCGGTCATCACGGGCCACACACGTCAGAGGCGTGCCTGTTGTTGCGGAGGTGCTGCCTCCAACTCCGTTCCGGCCGCCATCATTCCTGCCACCCCAGCCATCGCCGTTTTCGCCGTGTCACTCCCCGCCCCCCAGGTATGGCGAGCCCTTGAAAAGGGCGCGACAGTTCCACTGGTTAATTTTCCTCACTGTCAGAAAGTTTCTCCTTAGTTCCAGGTTACTTCTCTCCTTGATTAGTTTCCATCCGTTGCTTCTTCTCCTGCCCTCAGGTGCTTCGGAGAAGAGGTTGACTCCCTTTTCTTTGTGGCAACCCCTGAGATATTGGAACCCTGCTATCCTGTCTCCCCTGGTCCTTCTTTTTTTCTAAACTGACCAAACCCAAATCCTGCAACCGTTCATTGTATGTTTTAGCCTCCAGTCCCCTCATCATCTTTGTTGCTCTCCTCTGCACTCTTTCTAGAGTCTCAATATTTTTCCCCGCCCCTCTTTCTCTCACACACATAAAAACATACAAAAACACATTTATAAAAACAAGGAAAAAAGTATTTTCCATTTCTCCTTTCCCTGAAAACTGGCAAAAGGAGCCAGTTTGAATTTTGAACTTGAAACATAGAATTATGCTCTGAATGAACACTCTCTGTTTGCTCCCAGTGCCTTAAAGCTATGCTGTAATCCTCCAAATGGAAGTTTTTAAGGCTAAAAACCTCACTTTCTTTAACTTAATTGTACTTACTTAGGCAGCCTACAGGCCCAGAAAATATTTCCTAGGGATCGCAGGATACTACATGTGTTTATTTACGCTCCTCATAGCTAAGGCCACCCAACATCACAACATCTGGACAGCACAGGAAATAAAAAGCAAAGGAATGGAACAAACCAGATAACATAAAAGGGAGTTGGTCATCCCTGCAGGACAGACAGAAAATCCCTCCTAAGCCCCCAGCTCCAAGCCTGGAAACCCCCCAAGGTGGTGCACTCCTTCTGTCTAGGGAAGAGCAAGCCCATTGAGAAGAAGAGATCGATCCAGAAAGCAGAGCTGTCCTTGACAAACTGGGTGACTCAAGACCACCCAATGAGCACGTCCAGCAGCTCAGACAGGGACATGGGTGGTCTGAAAGCCAGGTGGGCTTGGGCATCTCTCCCCTCCAGTCTCTGGAGAGACTGCAGAGAAGAGCAAGAAAGAGGATTAGGGGACTGGAGGCTCAAACATAGGAAGAACAGCTGCAGGAATTGTATATGCCCAGCCTAGAGAAAAGAAGGACGGGGTGGGGGCATGATAGCAATATTCCAGTATTTGAGGGGCTGCCCCAAAGAAGAGGGAGTCAACCTGTTCTCCAAAGCCCCTGAAGGCAGGACAAGAAGCAATGGGTGGAAAGTAATCAAGGAGAGAAGCAACCTGGAATTCAGGAGAAACTTCCTGACAATAAGGACAATTCATCAGTGGAAGGGAAGTTGCCTCCAGAAGTTGTGTAGTCTAGTTTTCAAAACTAGACTACACAACCATTTGAGTGGGATGGTAAAAGGTCTCCTGCCTTGAGCAGGGGGTTGGACTAGATGACCTCCAAGGTCCCTCCAACTCTATTATTCTATTATTCAGGAGAAAGACAAAGTTGCAAAACTGCAAGGCAGATGAGGAAGTTGAGGCGGGTTCTAGTTTAAGGAGGGCAGTTGTTTGTGTGGGGGGGGGGGACACCCCCTCCCAGCTTCTTCTTTCACCTGCTGTGGTTGACTGTGGGATGAGGTTCCCCCTCCCCTCACGGGAAGGTGTCAAGTGTGGGAGAGTGCCGGGTTCGAGTTTCTGTTCTGGCTGGAAAAGAAAAGCAGCTGTGGGCAGAAGCTCGGGAGGCTGGCACTTCGCTAAGAACAGCCCTGGCACCGCAAAATAGCCGTTTGTGTCAATTCGCAAAGCCCCTAATTACTCCCTTTCCCTGGGTTATTATGGGTTTGCAAAGATAGCCCGGCTTCCGATGGAGCCTCCCCCTGCAGGGGGGCAGATGGGTGTGTGATTCTCTGGCCCTTTGGGGGTGTTGTGTGTGCGCTTGTGGGTATGTGCAGCTCTTAGAGGTGGCTCCTGTCTGGGCTGAAGAAGGAGCAACCCTCCGAAGGGAGACCCCTGTTTTGTTGGGGCTGGGCTCCCATGGGGGACAGGACAGCAAGCCTTCCAGTATTTGAGGGGCTGCCCCAAAGAGGAGGGGGGGTCAGCCTATTCTCCAAAGCCCCCGAAGGCAGGACGAGAAGCAACTAACCAAGGAGAGAAGCTACCTGGAACTAAGGAGAAATTTCCCGACAGTGAGGACAATTAACCAGTGGAACAGCTGGCCACCAGAAGTTGTGGGTGCTTCAACACTGGAGGTTTTTAAGAAGAGACTGAACAGCCATTTGTCTGGAATAGTATAGGTTCTCTTGCTTGAGCAGGGGGCTGGACTAGAAGACCTCCAGGGTCCCTTCCAACTCTGTTATTCGGCTATTCTTTTATTCTGAGGGGCTGCCCCAAAGAGGAGGGGGTCCACCTATTCTCCAAAGCACCTGAGGGCAGGACAAGAAGCAACGGATGGAAACTAATCACGGAGAGAAGCAACCTAGAACTAAGGAGAAATTTCCTGACCATGAGAACAATTAACCAGTGGAACTGCTTGCCACCAAAAGTTGTGGGTGCTTCAACACTGGAGGATTTTAAGAGCAGACTGGACAGTCACTGGTCTGACATTGTATAGGGTCTCCTGCTTGAGCAGGGGGTTGGACTAGAAGACCTCCAAGGTCTCTCGCAGCTCTATTCTGATTGATTGATTGATTGATCTTGACTTCAAAGGCCCCCAACATCCTCACAATCAAATCTGCCCCATAGTGGAAACATCTGTCTGTCTCTGGAGGTGGTGGGTTTCCATTGCTGAAGGTTTTTAAGGGGATGCATCCCTCTCAGGATGACCTCATGGGGTTTGCTAGATGACCACTGGGGGGTCACTTCCAATTTAGCAATACAGGGAGTCCTTAACTTATAACAGTTCATTTAGTGACCGTTCAAAGTTACAACTGCACTGAAACCGTTTTTCACACTTACGACCGTTGCAGCGTCCCCAGAGTCACATGATCAAAATTCAGACATTTGGCAACTGACTCGTATTTATGACGGTTGCAGTGTCCTGAGATCCCCTTTTGTGACCTTCTAACAAGCAAAGTCAATGGGGGAGTCAGATTCAGTTAACGACGGTGTTGAGAAAGGTCGTAACATGGAGGAAAACTCACTTAACAAGCGTCTCGCTTAGCAAAATAAATTTTGGGCTCAGTTGGGTTTATAAGTCAAAGACTACCTGCCTTGATTCTCCCAGGGTGCCATGGGGCAACCAGGTGGGGTCTCCAGGAGCTGTAGCAGCTACTCAACCTCGGTTGATCTTGAAAAATCCAAGCCAGGCGTGGTGGGCTGGTTTGTTCTAGGATGGGAGGCCACCAGGAAATCCCTGGGCTGGAATGAGAAGGTAAGCCCTTTAAATCTGAGAAGAGGGCAGGGTGGGGCTCCGGCAGTCCCCAGAATGGCACTCAAGGGGATCCCTCCCCTGCACTCTGCATTGGGGGAGGGGGGCTGGATTGGAGGGGTGCAACCCCAGCCAGCCAGCTGAAGGGGAGCTTCAAGTGCTCCCCAAGTTCGAGACTGGGCTGTGCCCCACCAGTTCCTCCGTCGACTGATGTCAACCCAAGTGGGGCTCAGCAGAGGAATGCAATGGGGTGGGGGGGGGGAGTTTGGCCGAATCCGAACCCAGATCTTCTTGAGCCGGGCTGCTCCGGAAAGCCCCCTTTAGATCAGCTCCTCCTCCACCGTCCTGCTAGAGGGGGTCCCTCCGGCAGAGCCCCCCTCCCCAGCGCATTCCTCCGGCTCCTTTCGGGATTCCCCCGTAGGCAGGCGGCCTTCCCCGCCCTGCCTGGCTCGGCTGGTCCTCCCTCTCCACCACTCCCATCATCCGCAGCCAGCCAGGCCAGCGGGGAAGGGGAGGCCAAAACAAAGGGGAGGAGGAGGAATCTCCCAGGGGGGGGGGGGGGGTGAGAGGGGGCGGGAAGACCACGGGCGCGGGCGCGGAGGTGGGGGAAGGGGGGGGGGGGGGGCTGGGGGGGGGAGTACGGGGCGTTCCCGCTTTACCTGGAGGGGGCGGAGTCAGGGCAGGGTCCCGCCCCGCCCCCGCCCCGCCCCTCCGTCCGCTGGAGAAGAGGGAGGAGGAGGCGGCGGCGGGACTGGCCGGAGCGGCTGAGCGCGAGGCGAGGCGCGTCCCCGCGGCGGCGGCGGCGGCGGCGGGTGGGGGGCTGTCCGGGCACGCGCGCTCCCGCCCCGCCCGCAACATGGCCGAAGTGGGCATCGACCGCTCCAAGCTGCCGGGCGTCAAGGAAGGTGAGGCGGGCGGCGGGCGGGGGGAGGCCTGGCCCGAGGGCCCCAGCCACGAAGCCCCCCCCCC